CCTTCGTCTCTATCATCAATATCCATCTCTCTCTCGCTCTCTCTCTCTCTCTCTCTAAATATATGAATTGTCTTTAATTTTACTAGCCCTGTAATTGAATTTTGAACTTAAAAAAAATCAATTGTGTGTGAGTTTTCTTAATGTATCTTTGCCGTATTTTTTTTGATAGCTCTAAGCTTTATCAGACCAAAAAATATATGATCTCTGAATTCCCCACCATAGAAGAAAAGGACGATGTGCATAGAATAATGATGGAAGTGGTACCGTTGCTGGGAGCCTCAGGGTATCGGACCCGAAGGAACATACTAATGACCAATGGGGAGTACCCTTGCCACTGCCTGGCGCAGACGTTGTGGTACCCCAAACGCGGGAATCTGGTATTAGTGTGGGACGTGGAGGAATTGTATTCCACGGGGTTGCCCGATCAAAGTCAACAAGTGTCAATTGTGGTGGTTGGTGCCATGCTGGCGGTGAGATGGTTAGAAGCCAACGCGGGCGCAAGTGAGCAGGAGACGGCCGTGCCGACACCTGAGCAACTAAGTAACGTAAAGATGAACCGCAACCTAGATGTTTTCAGAACCACCTGCAAGATTCTGAGAATACCCAAAGCCATTGAAAGAATATGGTCAAGGCAAAGATTGATGCCTTGGTTCCGTGCAGTGATGACATCATGGATGTATGAACGCGCGAAGCGTCATATGTCTAGGAACACGGAAGCCTATCAATCTTTCCAGCTAGATATAGGACCGGGAGCCTATAAAAAAGCATTCTTAACGCACAGAAACGCTGTTACCACGGCGGTGAAGCGAGTAGCTGGATCACCCTGTGTGACTGAAACTGAAAAGAGAGAGGTCTTACGAGCTGACCTAGAACGGAATGTGAGCTTGTGTCTTCAAAACAGCTTTTGCAGGAACCGGGAGCAAAAGATGAATGTGAACTTGCTACCTTGTTGCAAACCGCGGCTGTTAGAACAGGAGAGTTGGGGGACGGCCCGCAACTCCATGGACATGTTGGAAAAAGTTCTAGAAGACAGTTAAACTGAAGATCAGGATGGAGAAGCGATGGAATGAGGAAGATATAACAAAGAGGGGAGTGAAGCCGTAAACAAGAAAGAGAGAGAAGGAGAAAAACTTGATTGTCTTTGTGTGCTAAAACTTAAACTAATCAACCAAGTTTGATTATTAAAACTGTTAAATTTTTTGTTTTGATTTAGTTTGGTCAGGCCAAACTTTGAAAATTGTTGCGATTGTTGAAATTGTTGAAAGAAAATTTTAGTTGTGCTACTTATGTATGTATAAAGAACATAGGTGAGTATATTAACCTATTTGAACACGACTGATGTTTTTAACCTGTGTAGGACATGTGTTCACTGTGTGGCGACCTGGTAAGTTTGGGTAAGCTCGCTCGAAGGGGGTGAGTAACTCAATAACTTTCCTAGCCACAGAGTTTCTTAGTTTTAATATCAAAGAGGACCGCATAAATAACTGATTATACTTGGTGAGTGACAATAAGTTAATTTTAACGGGTGCGTGGCCGTGCCATGTCCCAACTTTTTAATCAGCAAGAGCGAAAAGAAATTTATGGCGTTATGACGTAAGTAGTCAGAAAAGAAATTTTATCTAGGACACTCTTCATGGTGCAAATTTTGTGAAAATGTTGAAGGGCAGTGAGATGTAGTACGATGCCATTTGTGACCCGTAGTGAGTTGAGGTGGAGTAGATAAATTTCATTTTCTAATGAGATTTGTAAGGTTGATTATAGAGAACTGGAACACTACTTGACGATAACCCGGTGTTATGCGATCAATAGGGACATTGATGGGGACTATCCGGGGAGTATGTGCCATTCTGCCAGACTGGCACAGAGCAACCTTCCGGCGAGACACGAGAAAGCGATTAAAGGCCTTAACGACGAAAAAGTGCTACGAAGGAGGGTAAAAATATTCTAGAAAATTCTCTTCTCAAAATTTCGATTGTCGAACGAATATTTCTCAGAAATACAAAAAACGGCCATTTTGACTGAAAAAGGTGAAAAAGTCAGAACAACCGCAAATATAGTGGAAAACAGTCGCACGTTAACGCAGAAAAACAAAGCCTCTTATCGTGACGATCACGCACGATAAGACCCTTAGCAGAAAAAAATAGTAGGAAAGGAGGCTTCAGTGGGGAAGTGGTGGAAAGCAGTACCCTCCCGTGCCACGAATTGGGAGTGATAACGACGTTATCTCGAGGAAAACACGGAAGCGGAGGCTGGGTTCCCCAGAGACTGATATATGGTGAAAGACTATAGTAAACTAACTTCTTAGCTACTCTGATGCCATAAAGCTTTGAATTAACACCGGTATTATTTGATATTTTAGAATATGAGTAGCTAGGAAGAGGAAAGGGTCAATCCATCTCCAATGGATTCAATAGAGAACTGTCACCAAAAACATAACAAAATAGGATATTCGAGCCGTGTTTTTAATAGCAATCACGTAGTCTGAGGATCCGAGACTCAGCTATGTGGTTGTGTTCGCATGTAAACGAAAGCTGATCAAAAGTCGTTTGACTGATGGCTTAAGAATATTAACTTTTTACTTAGCCCTAAACAGACCAAACAACAAACTGGCAAGGTCGAGACGGTGAAAAACGAGTAGAACTAAGGTAACTGACGCCTGCCAGTCGTTAATAGGTACTTTTTCTACGCTCCGTCACCGTGTATTATTTGGGCGAATGTTACATTGCTTTCGCTAGGTTACCCGATGTCTTGGCCCTATCTGCTTTTGCCTGGCTTATCTCAGATCTCAAGAGTCTCAATTGAAAGCTGTGCACCGCTTGATCCGAAAAAACACAGTTATCAGGCGCGCGAAACCTTAAAAAATCTGGTATAATGTCGTTATCGAGACATTTTTTTAATATGTTAATAAATAGCAGCCTTATTTTTCGGAGTGACCTCGTGGTCTTGTGATACTAAGACCCAGCCATGAGCTCACTATATTTGCATGTAACTAAGTTAATTTGCCCGATCTGGCCGATAGCCTTAAATAGTAACGACTTTGTCGACCCGATGTTAAGGGACCACACATAGAACTGGCCTTGGTAGAGACAGTTAAAAGCATGTGAAGCTGTGTTTAGTCGCTAGCCAGTCGTTTCATATCCTAGCTTTTCCGTGGGTATGTACTTTCGGGCGAATGTTACATTTAAGGAATTTTATCTATCTATTTCGTGAAGATCCTTCTATGGCATCCTTGGGAAAAACATTATGGAAGCAAACAGCATTTTATTTATTATTATTATTATTATTATTATTATTATTATTATTATGGATTCAGCTATTAGAGCTTGGGTGTTTCCACCCTTAAGTTTCAGCGTCATGCAAGTTTCCATGTCGAAATATCGTTGTATCTATAGTTTGTCATGAAGTAATTCCAGAAGTGCTTCAGTAGTCGTGGTTTGAGTCCCTGATGGTTGCAGTAGTCGATTGAATTTGATGTTAAAATTCTAACCATTATTTTATTATTTTGTAAATAATTATAGAACCAGAAAAATTTGTTTGACTTACACTCGCTTAATAATATTAATTGTCATTTTGCAATTAAAGTTCATTTTTTCTGATTATGATGGATTCAAATTCAACTGTTTTTCGGCAATAAAGTTCGAGCAAGGAGCTTTGTAACTGATTCAACGCGTAATTTGAAGATAGGAATTCCGACCATAAAACTAAGACTTTGTATTGATCATTTTTAATAAGTCGGTCAATTTCCACATTGCTTATCAAATTTTTGACCAAAATTTATAATATCTGATTTTGATGCATTCAAACTCAACTGATTTTCGGCAAAAAATAAGTGAGTTGGAGCAAGGAACTTTTTAACTGATTCAACCCGTTATTTGAAGATAGGGATGATGCAAATAAGTGATGCAAATAAAATTGGTTGTGAACGAGAAAATTCAATTGGTTGTAAATTGGTTGCTATAGCTTTGAATCTTTCTTATAGAGTTATTTGATTTAAGATAATTATGATTGATGGAATCGAATGTGGTTGAGGTATACAAATAAGGCTTTAAAATGGTTGTTTTCAAATAGAGGCGTCTCCTCACACCTTTATGGACTAAAGAGTTTCAGCATGATTAATTTAGCTTCTTTTGAAAATGGGATTAATAAACGGTATCTTAAAGTTTAAACTTGTATAAGCTGTATCGAGAGATCCAAATTTCCTTCGTCTCTATCATCAATATCCATCTCTCTCTCGCTCTCTCTCTCTCTCTCTCTAAATATATGAATTGTCTTTAATGTTACTAGCCCTGTAATTGAATTTTGAACTTAAAAAAAATCAATTGTGTGTGAGTTTTCTTAATGTATCTTTGCCGTATTTTTTTTGATAGCTCTAAGCTTTATCAGACCAAAAAATATATGATGACGAAAATATGAGTAATGTTGAAATGCATTAAATCATGCCATTTCACAGAAAAATATGAGGCGGGTGGCGTTTAACCATTTTTTGATTTTTCTTTAAAATCTTAGTTCAGGTAGTTAGTTATCATTAAAACTAGCCTTCTTCTGAATGAAAGGGAAAAACAGTTTCAGAAGGCTATAGTATTATCCATGAAGCTGTAATACATAATAAAGTGGTAGTTAAGGTTCTTTAATTGTTTAATTTGTCTGGTAAAGTTAGGAAATTCGTCTGAATCTACAAATTGTTTTGAATTATTACATAAACCTCGTTGTTGTGAAATATAGTAGGAAGGAGACCATGAGCCATGTTTGAATACTAGAGCCGGCTTAGTGGCTGTGAAGTGAAGACAGTACCTGGATGATTTGCGCCTACACAAATTTATATTCAGGAGCGTAGCGGAAACATTGTTTATATACTGTGCTAGAGCGGCGGCTTAGCGTTGTCAGCTGAAGATTTCTATATGCAATGCCGTTGTACAAGCCACTGCTTGTGTATGTCTAAGAGTAGACATACTGTTTTTATTTTATTAATGAGTCATCGTTACTTGCTGAGCTGATGATGATCGCATTTGTTATCAACATTTGCTTTACAAATTTCATCCGCGTGTGCTATTTCAGAGCAGTTTGTTTTGCGGCATTTTATTGCTCCCACGGATCAGTTGCTTCCTGTTACCCTGGATGAAGAAACACGGAATTTGCCGAGTGAATCATTTTGCAGTTTACTGGGCTAAGCTTTCATTCGATCATTCCAGTAAGTCTATTTATTGCTCAGTCATAGTTTTGAGTTTGTTCTACTTAGCCAATTCGATACTTCGAACAGCGAAGCTGCATCCATAGTGAAGTCAGAGCGGACCTCTACAGGCTAAGTTTTCTTATCTTTGTCTTGCTTGAAAGTTTTTCTCTTTATAAAATTGATCTTTCAACTCTTTTGATCTGCATCTGCTCAGCTGTGTGTGTCCGGAATCACGTTTGTTTGAAGAACTATGAGCGTCGTCGTTTTCTACGTCTATAACCAAGGTTACCCATTTTACTGCGAATCGACTATAGCACAAACAAGGTCATAAAAACACGATTTAAAACGTCAATTTTTGTTTGTATTCAGTTGACTGCATGCAAGGAAAAAACCAGTTTACATAGTTGTTGTTATTTATCAATGTAGTCGCCAATACAAATCAAGTTTTTTACCACAAAATTTAGCATTGTTACTCTTTCGATAAGTAGACATTGCTATCAACCCGGAGCATCACAAACTAATTTCAAGTTATTCGGAATAGCCTGCTGATACAGCTAGCCACTGATGCAGTTTTGCATTATCCCAGATAACTTAACCAGCTTCATGTTACCGTGGCTGTTATTGAATTTCTCCTGTATGACGGATTGGAATCATTTTGTTTGCTAACATTGACTGCTCGTGGTCAATTGTGATGAAATGACAATGAACCAGTTCACTGCCATTACTCCCTGTGATTATCATCTCTTACTACCCTCTTAGACTAGAACAGCTGTGCTGCTGTCATCTCTCTCTCTCTCGTGCCAAGTAGTTAGTTAGTTCACTATGTGAAACTGTGCTGTGCAGCTTGTCTCTTCTATCCCGTTAGTTTTACTAATTCCACCCTGCAAGGTAAATTCTATAAATAATCATCATTCATTGATTGACCTGTGGTGCAGTTGCTTTGCATTCATTATTCAGCTTTATCACTGAATGTATTTATTGTAATAACCTGAAAGTGCTGCTCAGTAATCACCATTTAGCTGCAAATTTTTCCTCCTTAGAATATCTGTTGAAAAGCGTGCTAAATAAGTCAAACCTAACAAACTCAACAGTTATCTTATCCAAGGAAAAAAATAAGTCGACACCGAAGAAATTTTGTAAAAAATGGCCTTAGTTTTAGTTACGCACTCCTATCCTCACTAAATGGTTAAGTGTATCGAAAATCTTGCTGTCTAAAACATGCCAAATTTGGCAGCTGAAGGGTGTCTTCAGTCCATTTACACAACCCGCCGTTTTTCATAAATGCATGCTGGTTTAAATACATCAACTCGTCTTAGAAATTTCATGCGTTCTATAATTAGTGTCAACTCCACTGTGTACGCAGCTCAGGCTTATTCGTTTTATCCCATTTGCGTGAAATAAACGAGAGTCAAAGCACCTGTCCTTCGAATAATTCATGAAATTTAAGATCTCAACCATGACGTGTATTTTGTCCAATATAAAAAAGATTAACTTTTCCTTTCTGAATGAATTGGATAATCGTAAATTGCCTACAAGATTTATGCTCGGCTTTTCACATGATTAGATTTTTTTAAATGTAGGGTTTGCTTGAATTCCTACCCATCTAGTATTTGCTAGAGTTCCTTTCTGGCTGGTTTTATTTTCGTAGACTGCCCTTGATTTTTCCTGAATATTAACAATGAGAACAATATTAACAATGAGAAATACATTTTTTCTTTCTTTGAGTTGAAACAATTATAACGCGAAGGAGCCTCAAGCAGATGACCTCAGAGTTCTGTGATTTTGGCCTATCAATGATCATTTTTCAATAGTAGTTTTAGATGTGATCACATGACTTCACATTCCTGTAGCCGGTATCCTTGTTTGCAAATTCGAGACAATTTATGGAAAATACTTGCCCCCCCCCCCCCCGCCGTGCACTAAATTTCACTTGTTCATCCGAGTTTGTTCAGCTTTGCTTCTTGTGGTCTGCGATTGAAGTGACGCGAAGTGAAGTGAAGTTAGTTGTTGGTTGTTGCGTTATTTCCAAGTAGTGTTAGAGTATGTTTGTGTGTGAATGTGAATGTTGGAATGGAAGTATAATGGCGTCTCTCTTTCTCTCTTTTCCATTCGCGTGTTTCCCATTCTAGTTAATCGCTTCTTAGTCACATGCTCTCTCTCTCTCTCTCTTTCTCCAGTCTGTTGGTGCCATACCATTTCATTATTCATATCTTATCTGTCTATCTATATACAAATAGTTCTATTTCCCTCAACCTCCCCTACATTCCACATTCTAATATACATACAGTGCGGTTGTAGAGCACATACAGCCTGCAAATTGCTCTTTCTTTCTTAATCATAAATATCTAGTAGTTTTTTGGACGGATTGGCCAAATTTTCCCACGTTTGACCATTGATAAGCAGCAAAAAATCAAAAAAAAAAACTTTTTTTTTCTGTTTCTAATAGCTGAATTTACGCTTTCTTTTACTTGTTATTGTTAGGCCTTAAGATAATTGTTAACCCTTTAGACTTACAAAATGCGATGACTGTGCAATTAATTGGATCCAAAATGACGTTATGAACTAATTCTGAATTTGGAAATGAGCAATTCTTCAGAGGTCAATCTCTTTTCAAAACAAGTCAACATACATGCCTGACAAGGACATGCTCAATGCACCATTTGTTACATTGCATCACAGTCGTCATTGTCACATCACATTTGTATTTGTTGGTGGGTGAAGCAAAGCAAAGCGTGAGCAGTGAGTGATGTTTCTGTATGCTTGGTAGTGAGTGGCACAGGATTGTTATGTCTATCGGTATCAGTATGTTCGCACTTCTGACTTGTAAGGGATGCGACCTCGCTTGCCAAACCGCCTCCTGCTATACGGCACACAACTTCAACACAATCACACAGCCATCAGATTGGAAAGCAGTAACACCACCCCAGGTCAACCCCCCTCCTCCTACTCTCCTGGGCTTCGTGGGATGGGATGGGAGGGGTGGGGGTTGTCTGTGGGGTCGGCATTCAGTTGCTGTCGATCGCCCCCGCTTTCATCCAAATTTCACATCTGCTTCTTATACATCTGCACTTACTATCAAATGCCTTCCATCATATCCGATGTTATCACTTTTATCTCTCCAAAGTTACTTGAATGTCTTCTTATGTCTCCTAAATCAATCCTTAATCTTTTCTATTTCTTTTATCCGTTTTTGTTTTGCTTATATACGTCTGATTTAACTAAATATATATTTATGTGGTAGCCTTTTCTTAACCTATTTTTCTTTCTCTTTTGTTTCTCTATACTGTCCATTATTTCTTTACTGTCTTTTGAAAGTAGTTTTATAAATGTTTGTTAATTTTCAACTAAATCTGTTGCTTATCGTGCAAGTGGGTTTATTTTGCCAATCCGTCCCGAAGTTTCCTCTACTTAGTGTTGTTGTCCTCTTTTGAACTAATAAAGCGTTATTTCTTTCTCGCCACAGTTGATTCGAAAAAGGAAACCAAGTTTCCCTGAAGGAAAGAAGACTGAATAAGCTCTCGAGGACGAAATCAGACACGTTATTTGACATGTCGTATTGGCTGAAGCTATCTTCATTTTTTTCAGCTTTTGCTTCAACTCTTTTTTTGTTGATTTTTGAATCTGTTGCTACATTCATGTGGAGGACACGTTTACTGTTTTTCTCCCATTTCAAAATGTATTCTCAGCTCAATTCTATAGTAATTCACGAGTAGTTGCTGCTGTGTCCCTGTGTGTGTTTGTGTGTGTGAAATAGAGAGAGAGAAAGAGTCTGTGTTATCTCTATCGGGATCATTTTCCTTGTTCAATAGTGGTCACTTTTTCAACTTTCTTTTTTTCTTCCTTTCCTTTCATGACGACAGCGTGTTTGCTGCTCGTGCTGCATGTATTGTATTGTATACTTTTCCATTCTATTACATGGACTGAATCAAACTTACAGTAGAAATAGCTGCGTATGTCAGTCAATCCTGCTTCACATTGAAACTGAACTTTTTGCTCATTGCCACTTGTTTGTCCACCAATAAGCGAGATGGCATGTTTTCTGAAGATCCATCCAGTCACGATTCTAGGTTGTGTTTTTCTCTTACAACCAAACCACACACAATGACTTAACTGTTCTGTTTTCATCTTTCTTCCTAACTGCACTCGTAGAGTGAGGCACTAATCTCCTCTCCTCGTGACAGATAAATACCAAATGAGCGATCAATTTTTAAACCAATCATTGTCCTTTAAACAGTCCAAAATTGACCGATCCCATTTTCCCACATAGTTTTTCCACATTTTCCTAGGCTGAACAATAATCGCTAAACAATAGTCTTTTTGAAGCATTCTGGCACGAGAGAGGCATTCCCCGCGATACTACAAGAGGCTTTTGACCCAAATGACATGCTTTAATGGCACTCTTGTACTTTTTTATCGAATCAAAACTGTTCATTTTAGTAGAATACGGGTGAATTTTTTTAAGTTAAGCTACTGAGTTACTCGCTAGAGTTTTAATCTTTACAGCCCCCCCCCCCCCCCGCGTCTTTACTCCAAATGTATTAAGGGAACATGGCCATGTCATCAAAGCACAATGACATTACGAAGGTACTACGAAACATGAGTTGTATGGGCGGGTAAGTAGTATTAGTAGTGGGAGGGGAACGTAATTCTTTGTCTGCTGTCTCTGGCTCATTTTGATCGTAAGAATTAATCAGACTGATATTATGGACACCCACGTGATCTGATGTGATGTGATCTACTGGGGGGACCCATGGGCGGGTTGAACAGATAACCCGCCCCTTGTCCCCACTCATCTATCGCCAATGAGCATGCAGTATCTATCTTTCGCTTCGCTTCTTACTTTCTGTCCCTCTCTTCATAACTCCATCTCTATAAATGCCCAAATATCTGAGGGCCATTTTAGCTAGTTGCATTCATTTTGTTTCGGAGATGCGAAAAGTTGTTACTGTGAGGCGAACAGAGATTTGATGTCCAAGGTAGAAAGCAGTGAACTAGGAAGAGGTATTTTGTAAGGGTTCTAATTGCAAACACTTATCAAATTTGCTGAAAAGCTACTATACCATGCTGTTTCTTAGAGGTTATTTTTAATTAGTAGTTGTGGGTATCTGCTCGGTATTATTGTTTTGTTATGATAGATTAAAACCATTTCTTTTCTGTTTCCAAGTTTTCCAACCTTGTAAAATGTGGCAGCTTGAAGCGCCCATGTTCCAGTTGGTAACTTGCCTTTCATTTACTTCATCCTCTTTTCCTTTTTTGTTCTCCTATTTTCTTCTTAATTATACCTAAAATGATGCCAATGATGTGGCCGAGGCAAAAAATGATTAGAAATCGAAATCTGTTTCTTGCCTCCACAACCGCCATCTGCACAGAAAAAAAAACCAAAAACACTATAAAACGAAGAGCTACATTGCCTGTCTTCACAAAAAGCTAAAAACAAGTAGATACAAATTAGCTTTACTCTTTGACAAAAATTATATTTTTGCTTACCAGAAGAAAAGCTATTTTCATATTTTTTAGCAGCAAAAGCTATTTTCGCTACATTAAACGTTTCATGTGTTTTGCTAAAAAAAATAAGCGGAAAGGATGCAGTTTGAAAAAAAATCTTAACAAATACGACATGCTTTTGTTCTAGATGTAACAACGGTTGCACAGTCTCTGTTATTGAGTGTAAATTGATGTTGAACATCAGTGTCTGATGTGTTTGCGAATTGAAATATCATGTAAAGAAATCAATGCTAACAAATAACCGGACAGCAAATAACCCCGCCTCCTGAAAACAGGTGACTCAAGCACAACCCTGAAAGGTGAAAGCCAAACAATTATTCCACCAGTTGTGGTAAAACACGCTAAATATTTTTTCGCTCCACAGAGAAACAAGAGAAAAGTGAATATTGGGGAGAAAAAGGAGCAAAAACAGATGTAATCTTACTTGCCTCAATTGAAGAACTGCTTTTTAAAATGTTGTAAAAACAGAAGCTGGACGGTGGGTTGGGTTTTGCAGCAGGGTTGGGTTTGAATCTATGCACCTGAGGAGACATCTGGCTCGAAATACCAAACTAACCATCCCCCTCACAGTTATTTTAACCCCTCTTGTTCACTCAGCAGCTAACCTGTTTGCTCTTTGCAATTTAGATCCAATTTAGTCCACCTACATTTGATGAAAATGTCCTCGTATCCTTTAACTAATTTTCAATATCAGTCGAACTTGCGCAACGTGAAAATGAATAAAACTATGATGATTTTTTGAATGATTGATTTATATGTTTTTTGTTGAGATAGACTCGTGGTTAATTTTTGACATGACCTGGTGGTGGCATTGGAAACGAAAAAGAAACAGCTGCTGCTGCAGGAAAGAAAATAGAATAAATATTTATGAGCCAGGTGGTCATTGCTATTCTTTTCTTTTCACCACTTCAAGTTAATCATCGAACCGTATCCAACCTCTATCTACGCTCTATTTTTACTGTGAAACATTAAAAGGACATTTTCACAATTGAATGAAAAGGAGCAGGTTTGTTATTTAGACAATAAAGTAGAGAGAAGCATTTAGAGTTAGATAGTCTTCTCGTTTTCTATTTCTACACATACGACCAAATCATACTTGAGCTATGATTGTATGTTGAGCTCAGCTGCAATTTAGACTACACAGGGCCGCCCAAAAGCCTCTCCTAAAGTGAGAGGAGAGAAGGAGAAAGACTCCTACTCCTGCTACTATCTCAACTCAATCAATACTACCTTAACAATAACAACAGACTGCTATCATCTTATCATGTTAGATGTAGAAAAGAACAACTATACTAGTTCTGCTTGCTAATCTGCTTCAAAAGCCACCTTTTAAAGATAAAGGATGAAACAAAACTTAATTAGCTTCAAAACATTGCTGGATGTTTTGCCTGGTTGATGTTGATTCGATTAACTGCCAATCATTCTGATCATAACCCGACTGTTTTCATCGTTGAGCCATTAGAGTGTATTGTGTCTTATTCGTTCGAGTAGTTTATTTATTCCCGCTATCACGCTTTCGGTTACTAGTGATACATCTCGGGTGGATACAGAACAGAACCCGCAGTTTAATCTAATCTAAGCTAGACCCCACTTCATTTCATTTCCGCCGCTCCTCTTTTCACATCCCAAAACACCACTAAACACATACTAACTTTTTCGGGTGAACCGACATTTTTTGACTTTATAATGGTTTATAAATTTATGATTAACAATATTGACCCGATAAAAAAATGAAGCAGAAAGGAATAAAAAACAGGTGTTTTCTTAGTGTTTCATGAATTTTTTGTCCATGTCATCATTCGAATCACCTTGTGTGATTTGTTGTTGTTGATGTTTTGTACTCATTGTTTGGTTATTTGTTAGTACACTTCTACTTCCTATTAATGCGTTACTACCTGTCAATCGACGGATCATTGTTGACTGTTTGTTGTTTGTTTGGCTGTGGAAAACAAGGATTCTCTGAAATGAAAGAGAAGATTAGAAAAAAGAAGAAGAAATTGATTTTTATCTTTGTGACTGGCACTATTTTTGAAATATTGTCTTCGTGTGTTGTGTTGTCGCCTTAGAATTAAAGAATTCAGTTCAACTTACCACGCTACTATTGTATAGCACGCCGCCCTTCAATTCGTTAAGAATTTATCCCTCGCTAATCAATGCAGTTGAAGTAACAAGGGAGTTGAATTGTATTAACTTGAATGGCACTGGTTGAAACAATCGCCTAAAACAAAGGATCACTGTCGAAAGATATCTGTGCCAACAATTTTTTTTACCCTAACTTACCAGACCCTTTATCACCAGGTACACCATAAAGTCCCAAGTATTTAATATTTCTTCAGAAGTTGACTTATTATTCAGTCAATTAGTCACATTGGTAGTGAAATAAATATTGGCTGTAAGTTTTGCGAAGGAAACAGTTTGTTGTGTGGCAAGTACAAGAATGTGGTGACTGGGTTGAAGCATTCATGGATGTGATGAGTATTCTGGGATGGCCCTCTTCCTCTTCTGTGTCCCTCAGCTGCAAGTGAAAGTAATCAGGTGAGGTCACTCTGCATTGCATACATCATACTCATCAGTAAATGTGATCGTTAGTCGTGTACGTGCTGTAATACGCGTAACCGAACAGGTGTGCAGTTGTGTATTGGTGTCGTGTCTAAAGAAGCCTGGCTCGCTTCATTAACCAACTGCAACTTGGTATGGCTAGTTTAACTTGCTTGTAAGTGAGCGAATACAATGTGTCTTCTCTCTCTCCTCCTCCTCAGTCTCTGATTGATCATTAGATGTACAACACAACACTACTGTGAACATTCTATTCAATTCAGTCAGCCAAATTCGCAGTAACCAGACTACTGCGACATGTAGTATCTTCATAACCTCCTCATTCTCTCTCTATCTATCTTTTTTGTCTCCTTGTCCCCAGATACAGTAGGGATTCTTTCTCTCCCTGTCTTAATAATCCCAACTCCTACTTGGCTTCAACAGATGTCTGTCTCTTCTCAGCCTACGTGTGATGTGTTTAGTTTCTAACTGTTCAGCGCCAATCATCAATTGTCATAATTCCCGCCTGTTTTTGTTGGTGATCATATGTGCAATAGTGGGCTCAATTGGAAAAGTTCCCAACCACTCTTTAGACATCTCACAAAAACCGGTCAGCAAGCCAATTGAAATGTTCATATCAAAGCACAAAAGCCGTCATTTGAATACCAGATTGGATTGCTTTTGTGTTAATTTTGTGTTTGTTATTATTCAAAATGTTTACTCAATTTACCTCACCGGCTTCAGTTTTGTAGTTATGTGATTAGGATGGCAAGTGCAGTGGTAGTAGTCGTCACCATTCTGTATTTCATTGTTACCCTCTTCTTTCTCTTTTCGGCCAAGGAGTCTGTGGCTCTGGTGTAATACTTCAGCTCAATTGGTTGTTTGCCATTATATATGTTCAGAGTGCATCAGTCATGAAAATGAATCTGCTCCGGTGTGAATAAACGAAACGATCACAATCAGTCAAACAAACCGAACAGCAAAAGTGATCGGTAGGCTCATTGTACGTTTCCACGCCAATAAACGGAGTTGCAATTAGTCAGTCGCTAAATATCATTTCTGTTTTGCGTGTAGACTGGGGTTGCGTTGTCTTGTCCTAACTGTTCATCAAACATAATTAAAAACTGTCTTTTTAACCAGCTTTTCCGAGAAGAAAAAACACGATATTTTTACCAGTGAATATTTCCGGCAGAGTTTCGATGCAGCTTTCAGTAGAAAAAGGAGCCGAAAGTAAGTTGTGAATTCATGTAGTCAGTTTTGGCGAAGCCTTACCGCGTCAGTTGAATGTTTTAGGTAGTTTATCTATCCACATATGTTTTTAATCTTCTCAAAAAATGGCGCACAACTATCAGTTTTCGATGAATGCAATCCAGTAAAAAAAGAAAAGACATTGATTTAGTTAGTTACTGAGCTTCACCAAACTGTAAGGACAATCTTTGTGGACATGTTGCAAATGCAGCTCCGCTCAGCTGTGGTGAAGGTTGTTCTGACTCTAACTTGTGGTTGACTGGCTGTGATGTGACGTTGTAGCTTTGCCAACATTGATACCACTTTTCATCTTTTTGCAAGCATATTAAACAGAGCAGCTTGAGGTATCTGAACTTTTCTATTCATTCTTTTCCCATAGCCATCAACTGGGCCCAGTTTCTTCCATGCTGTTCGTATCATTATAGTGTTTTTGACAAATTAACAAAACAAGCTCTCGATAAACCCAGAAAAGTTGATAACTTACATTGATTTAAAATTGAAACTAACTGTAAGGTCCGAGCAGATTGTCACTTTTGTTTAAAAAATAACAATAGTTTGAGCTCGAAAACCTTTGTTTGTTTGAAACTTTAGTTTTCCGTTGGAGTTTTGTAATCTGTGTCTTAGTCAATAGTTGATTTGTTTTCCCATTTTGGAGAATGTCTGAAAACTAAACTTTTTCATAAACTGCACAATTGCCATGCGTTGCCGTAAAATCAAATTCTCAGAGCCCAATTTGAAAGAAGCATATGAAATGAAAGCAAACGAATATCTTCAACTACCCCCCCCCCCCCCCCTTCCCTCATATGGTACCTAGTACAGAATCACAGAATCCCCACCCCTATAAAGAACTATATCAATGCCCCTCTTAAAGAATCTGTGGATTTTGTACCTAGTAACTATTTACCCCTTTTTTCGTGCAATTGTAGGGATTAATCAAAGAGGTAAGTCAGTAAAAGCTCTAATTTGTATAAGTTTTATGAACAAAAAACAGTTTTTTGGCTCTTCAGTTAGAATTTCTGTTTGTTCTCTGATAATTATGAGTAAGTATGCGCGGTTCTGTCGTACCAATCACGCTATATCATTAGAGCTACATGTGTAAATTTCATCTTGTTTCCATATGCTAGTAAATTGGGCTTGGCTGGTATAGTGTGTTTCTGAATGGAGCAGAAACAACATGTTCATAAGGATAATTCTCTATTTCTGCCAGAAAAAATTGAATAATTCGCTAACTCTGCCAGAAAAAAAACACAGAATAATTCGCTGTTTCAGAAAAAAAAACCGAACATGTTCATTACAATAATTCTGCAATTCTGCCAGACAAAAAAAATATGCTAATTCAGAAAAAACGTGTTCAATAAGATATTTCACTAATTCTGACAATTGTTTATAATGTTATGATGCAACTGCTCAATGTGTTCATGTGCATGTTTCGTTTATAGGTTTTGGTGACTTCTAAACGACTCAAAATTTGATAGTTGAAAATCACATGTCAACCGACAAAAAAAACATAACTACTCTTTTGAAATGAATCACGAGAAAGGATCAATTTGGCCTAACCAACGTTTGCTTGGCTGCTTTCTCACTAAATGTTTTAAGGATAGTTGTAGTCAATAATAGGGGATGGACATTCTATTAAGCTCACTCCCGGATATCATGGTGTGAAAAAAAGATATGTCAGTGTTTTTCCTCATGGCGACATTCCGGAGCTCGCTTCTCCTTTGTCGCTCCTGTACATGCTTAGAATTAGCTGTGGCATAAAACAATTATAAGCGTTTTTTAAACAACAAACAGTGAAACGGTTATTGCCCCTATCTTTCCTTTTATCCGCAAGAATATGTTTTCATCACACTTATCTCTCATATAGCAGCACGCTTTTCAACACGACTGTATTTGGTTGTTTCTCTCTGCTCTTCTTGTCAAGTGTCATTTTGTTTCGTGTCATTTTGTCCCGTGTCATGAAGTGGTGAAGAGCCTTCCTTCGCTTCTTGGCCGAGTAAAACTGAAACTGATTAAACAACTGCTATGTAGTTTCTCGCCTCCTTTTTCATTGTTTTTCTCTCTGCTATCTGTCTTTATATGTGCAGCGACTGAACTTAACTGGATCTACCTAACACAACCAATCAATATTTATTATCTTTTACACTGTTTTCCGAAAAAGAACCCATTTTGCTCTAAACTGTAAACAAGTATCTGTCTATGAGCAGCGGCAGACATCCTATTTCGACTCGGACTGATAGGTAGATTCCGCACTCAATATCAACTCATTCGCACAAGCTCCTAAAAGATCCATTGCAGCTCACTTTATCAACAGACCTAGAAATCATGTTTGTCAGCCTATTTCTGATCTGACCTCCTACCCCCCCCCCCCCAATGCAATGAATTCATATACTATAATTTGATGAAATTATACGTATCAGAACACGAATGGAGCTGTAAATGTTATTTTGCTAATGTACTAATGTATGTAGTGTGAGAATTTATTTTGATTGTTGTAAAAAAGAGAATACGTCCAGCCATTGACACCAACAAAGAGTTCTACTTAATCTGTAACTCTGCCATATCATCATTTAGTGGATCGAATGAGACGAACACTCTTCAAATTCGGAACTGCCAAATACCTTCTACTACCGACGATACCCACAAACGTCCACAACCCTGCTTATGAGGTCCTAAAATCGGATTAGATGGCGGCTGATTTTTTCTCTAGCAAGTTGTCAAATCCAGCAACAACATCGCTCTTAGAAATTCGACGATCTATTTGAAGCTGACACTGAGTTAACTCGAAACTAAAACTTTGAATCTAGTTTATCTTGGTAAAATGTATGTTTTTGTACTTAAGCTTTCAACAAGTTTTGTAAATTTGGAAATTTTGAACGAGCTGTGCTTTATATTTATTATCTTTAATTGATCTTGTGTCAATGAGATACATTCATACCTGTTATTAGATTAGTGTTTCTTTTTATGGAGATGATACATGATTTCATTTTTAGTCAATGTATGCCTGAACTCGATGCTAAAGTTGTTAGTTTAATTTATTTCTTCTATTCTGTTTCTTTTTTTGAGCCAGGTAGTGAAAACTAAGAAAAATTGGAATATAAGCCACTAATCGAGCGAAACTTTCTGTTCCAAGCGCTTCACAAAGTGAGAAGGAGCTATGGCGGCGCATGGTTTTTTGCAGCCGAGTGTTAGGAGCTCGAGGAAAGATCGTAGGGAGAGCTTTCAGCCATGATTCAGTTTTCATATTTAATAATAATTTCTCGTGTAAAGAAAATTTGGTCTTCTTCTTCGAGTTCTTCGAGTTATACACCAATTTGTTGACACTGAGCTGGACGACAATTAATTTGATAACGAAGCTGGATGAAGAAGAATTTATCCGATGAATTTTTCAGCCACAAAGAAGTAACGAACGTTTTCAAGAAACTCTTCACTGTTGTTTTCGTTATTGTTTAGTTTATTGTATATATGAAATATTCTGTTTTGCGAAATAACAATCGCCTTTTACAAAAAAGCAGCACAAAGTTTTGGGAACAACTGAAAAAATTTGAAATTTTGAAAACAAAAGAATTTTTTGAAAACTTTCAAAATTTCAAATTTTTTCAATTATTCCCTAAACTTTCTGTTGCTCTTTTTTTGTGAAAAGCGATTGTGTTTTTTCGCAAAACAGAATTTTTCATATATACAATAACCTAAAAACTATACCGAAAACAACTGAAGAGTTTTTGGAAAACGTTCGTTACTTCTATCTTCGTGGCTGAAAAATTTATCTGATAAATTCTTCGACACGAAGACATTGTTATTGTTTTTTTGGAACCTAAGTCGTGGCTGAAAGGGTTTCAATGAGATTGCCCACTGATCCTTCTACAAATTTTTTTGGAAAAACAGAAAAAAAGTTTATCCGAAACTGTATTTCGTACCACCTTGTGCCGCACAATAAGTTCCGCGTACGTCACTTCAGATTATTTGTTCAGGAGTTTCTGAATGTTTTGCTCAAATTTTTGTTTCCCAAATTCTTTTGATTCTGCTGTTTTTTCTTTATCTTTCTTCCATCTTCTAGACGTACTGTTGAAGCAATTGTATATGCACCAGTTTATATATTTATTTTTAAGAAGAAACCTCGAATTAAAAAAATTTACCACAGTTGTAAAATCGTTTAAAAAATTTATAACCTTATCTAGTGCTCATAAATCTCAAGAATTTTCCATTTTTTTTACCTCATTTTTTGTTGCAATTACCCTTATGAGCGTGGAAAAAAGAATAACGTGGAGGAATTGTTTTCAGCATATTTTCACAACCCGAAAAAAGCTTACCGGGTCTGAAGTGAGAGATGGTCTTGACGCCTTCTCATTCGTAATTTGGATTCGAAACTATTTACATCTCTTTTCTTGAAATCACTTTGTTTTCGATTTTGCTTCTTGAAGTGACAACTGTGGGCGAAATATTTTGTGCAACCTGAATGCTAATCAGCTTTTCTGGTTCATAGTATCGCTTTGGCTTATGTTTAAGTTAGATTCTTTTTGACAGTGTTCGATAAGGATATCGATTTTTTCATAACAGTTCATTTAAAGTTATTTTACTAGTTCTATCATATTTTAGAAATAACTAGATAAAGATACTTGCCACTTGTGAGAGTAATTGACTTGTAATTGGTATCTGAACTTTTAACCGTAAACAGTTTTCTTACACATTTCTGCTTCTTCTCTGCTGACATGCTCAATTTCATTTCAATTTGAATAAAACTACTTTTTAGTACGTTTGTAATAGTAGTTATCGTTTAATAGTATTTTGATGAAAAAACGTTGCTGATTTTCCGATTTTTTTTCAAATTAAATTTATTTTATCTGAATTTGAACTAAATATCATTTTGAGATTTTCTTATCAAAACGAACTTAAAATAGTTCAAAGTTCCATCGAGTAGCTAGCTTGTTTGATCAGTTAGTAAACTTTTATTGTGTGGTTGAATTTATCAAAAGAAATTTGAAAGATTTCAGTTTTCACCGCTTGATAAGCTGGATGGAAAAACTAAATTTTTTGCAATAGGCTAAAAGCTTGCAAAAACAAAGCTGAAAGTTCAAAGTTCGAAAAACGTCCACTATCTTACTTTTTTTACCATTTCTTATTTTTTCAAATTTTTTTTTCATTTTTCTAGAAAACAACCAAATGAAATATGAGATTTAGAGTGCATTAAAAAGACAGGTTATGGCATTTATTTCAACATTTGTGTCTTTGCAGGCAGAAAATGAATCAAAAGCTTTAAAAATTATGTATTTCATCCCGGATCACTAAAATATAATTCTAAACAATATCAAACATGTACTGGGCCTCAAATTTTAGCTGGGCCGTAAGCTTTAACTTTAATTGAAGGTAGTTCTGTAGTTAAAATTTTCCAAAATAAAAATAAAATTTCCGCTTCATTTCAATAAATGTTCGTTTTGCATTAAATAAGGTTCGACACAGGTTTTTCGACCTAGTTGACGCTCGTTTTGTTTTTTTCATTGTTTTTTAAGGCGGTTTATGACCATCATTAAAGCCAAAATTATGAAGTTTTGGTTGATATAGTTTTTCGACTAATTTTTTCAGCTGAACTTTTCTAAAACGTGGCTTAAGTTTTCTATGATTATCCTTAAGCTACTTTCTTATTACCTTGCAGAAACAAATTCAATCGAAAGAACAGTTCGCAGAAAAAATTGACTAAACTGCCTTTTTTTAGAGTGCATTTATAAGAACAGTATTATGTATATCGCCTACAAAAGCAGCTAATCACAATTTAGCAGAGAAACAATTAAGAATTTGGGTTTTGAAAATAATGCATTCATCGCTGATCAGTAGAATTAATTTCTAAAAACTATCAAACAGTCACCGGCCCTCAAGCTTCTCAGACCTCTCTTTAACTCACAAGTTTCAGAGAAAAACAAAACCACTTAAAAGCACTTCAGAAGAAATTCAGCAGAGTGTTTCAAAAACATAATTTTTTCATTTTATCTTAATAAAGTAAAGTAATTTTCTGTATTGCAATTTTTACGAAACTCCGCACCACTTCTGTGTATAAAACTACGCGAAGAAAATTGATTATCTTAAAAATAAAAAAAACTGCTCTTTATACTTGGAACTCTCAGCAGAAAAAATTATCTATTAATTCACATTTCTCCAATTGGATTGCTTAAACAGACAAAATGTACAACCTGAGTTTGTCCTGAAACTCAGAGAGCTATTAAGTGGTTTTGTTTTTATCCGAAATTTGTAAGTTAAAGAAAGGCCTTGAGATGTTTTGTGTTCTCTGACACTTTTGCAAACTCACTTATTGTAGCTTTTTCAAAAATCAAGAAATGGTTCAACATCCGAAAATTTGGTCTAAAAAACTCGAGAATTTTGAACAGTGATACGAAAGATATTTCAACAATTGAATCAATTTTATTTTTTTCAAATTAGAACTTTTGTTTTGAAAATTTGATGTTGACAAAACCTTTCTTGCTATCTGCACATCAACGGTGCTGTTTTTGTACTTCTTGTGCAGCCAATGTATTAGAAGCAGTTGTGCTGAAGTTTGCCACAAGTTTTTTTGGAGCAAAGTGTAAGTTTTCATAAGTGTTGAGAAATAAGGAAATGTGTTGCGCTTCTTCTTAACCAGATGTATGGTGGCTTCAAATCCCTTATGAATTAAGATCATGACCTAAGCGTTGAAACTAACTCTTAAAACAGTCACAAAAGAGATGTTTTTCTTGTTTACCACGACCTTTTTGTTAACTTTTTTTGCGCAGTTCATAAATGCCTAAAAAATTTATTCTTGAATATCCTGAGCCATATTTTGTATGGTACAAAAAATTCACGACAGAGGTTGAAAATGATAAAAGTGAAGGGGCTCCAGGCTCAACGACATCATATCAAAAATTCGTTTATTTTTTAACTATTCTGAAGTGTGATGGATGACAAAGCTTATTTCATTTGAGTTTTTTTGTCTAGGTAACCGTGTTGTCAAGTAAATCACGATTTGCAATTTTTTTTACGTGACACACTTCAAATTTTTTTTTCTGTGTAATACAAAGCATTTTTTAAAGAATAAATTGGTACATAATTAAGGCAATGGCAATTAATTTAAGTCAGTTTTTCAGCAATGATGTTTTGTTGTTTTCTGGTTGTGTGGTACGCGAGCAGTTTCTCACTTAAGAAATTTACAGGGATCATAAGTCATGTTTCAATTTGCTAGCATATTTTTGTTGTGCACATATGCACTATCAATTGAATTCTTGTCAATTAAGCCAAGTTATCAAATAATTTGTGGTAGTACACCTCCCTGTCACCCCAAATGTGTAGCTTAAACCTATCAACATCAAATAGAACAAAAAAGTAACTTCTTCAAAGTTTTCTTTTTGAAAAGTTGACTGGAGGAACGGCAACTTGTTGCAAATAGTAGAAACCAACCAAGTCAAACCAAATATTTTATGGGTTTTGTCACTTGAAGTGATGCTTTCAAAATTAAGCCAATGGGCTCTTGCAATCAAAACGAACTTGAAATGAAAAAGGTTGAAAAATTTTTACTTTTCACCGCATGATAATCTGGGAGGAAAAAAAATTAAATTCCTGCAAAAAAATTAAAGGCTTGCAAAAACGAACATGAAAGCTTAAACTTCAACAAAGCGTACACATTCTGAATTTTTTGCTGTTTCAGATTTTTTTTCAATTTCTTGTTTTTTTTTCAAAAAAATCAATCTAAGTAAATCTGACATTTAGATTTCAAAAAAAAAACGAGTCATGACAAATTTTTCGGCATATGTGGCTTTGCAGGCATAAATTTAATCAACAAAACAGGTTGTGGGAAAAACCCACAACACTGCTCATTTTCTTATAGAGTTCTTTTGCAAGATCAATATTAGGTATCAAGCATACATTAGCGATTAATAGCTTTTTAAGCAGAGATTAATTTATGATTTTGGTCTTCGTATTAATTGCATTCAAAGCTGATCCTTGAAAATTTTTTCAGAATAATATCAAAGAGAAATAGGGCCTCGAGCTTCTCAGGCCTCTCTTTAAATTACAAGTTTCGGAAAAAATAAA